ATCGTGTACCGCAGGAGATGTTGTAATAACATTGCCAACCATATTATCTCTTGATTCTTTCTGACTCTGCATTCGTGCCTGATGAGGGATGAATTGTTGACCATGTTGTTGTTGCTGCTGTTGTTGAGGAGCAAAAATAGGTCGAGACTGAAACTGCTTTGGAGCAAAAGTAGGAGCAACATTCTGATTACCATAGGATTGAGAACCATAAGACTGAGCTGGAGACTTGTAACCAAGTGGATAACCATGAAGTTTGTAACACTTGGTAACAATATGTCCCTGCAACCCACAGTAAGTACAAATGGGACGTTGCTTAGGTCGATAACCACCTGAAACAGCGCCAACAACTTCAGAAGAACCAGAGCAATCATTAAGGACTGGATTGTGCTGGAAATTTTGATCATAAGAAGATGGAGCCTGCTGAGAACTCATCTGAAAAACTACACCACCAGCCTGAGGAGTTTGCTTGATTTCCTGTTGATGTTCATGTTGAATCACCAGATTCAATGTTTTTTCCAAATCAGGCAAAGGATCACGCATGATGATAGATTCTCTGACATTTTCATATGATTCATTGAGACCAAATAGAAACTTAATCACAAAGTTTCTCTCAAAAAGTTCCATCCATTTACTATTCAGATCACAATCACAGCCACCACATTGACAAATAGGAAAATCTTGAGCACTTTTCACTTCTTCCCAAATCGTAACCAGTTTTGTGTAAAAAGTATTAACATCCAAAGAACCTTGACGAAGTCCAGCAAGTTTTTGTTCAATTCGATAGAGTCTAGGAACATTGTTTTGCTGGTAGATCTTCAATAATTTTTGCCAAATACCATGTGCAGTCTTCACATATAACACGCTTTGGCCTATAGTTTTGGAAACAGAGTTCATGAGCCAAGAGCGTACCACATCATTAACTCTGGACCAAGTCGCTGCATCTTTATGGCCATCATCGGGTTTAGGAAGACTACCATCAACAAAACAAAGCTTATTACGACCGTTTAACGCCATGAGCATCGATTGATACCATGATCCAAAATCGCTAGCGCCAGTAAGACGATCTGACACCAACACCAAACCAGAATGATCATTATTAGTGAGAAAATAAGGATTGTCATAGGAATCGCGAGTCGTATTCGCCATTGAAACGAAGCCGAGATAACGCGAAGCTTAACAAACGAAAAAAAAATGAAAAAGAGCAATCGGAGCTCAAAAAAGTTGAAACAAAGCTCGATCCGAAACAATCGGAGATCGATTCAAAGAAAAACAAGCTCAAATCATGAAGATCGAAGCTCGAAGATGAAGCAAGGAATGAGAAATCGAGTTGCGGAAGGAGAGCGAATATGCTCTGATACCATATCAGATAAGAGATAATCAGAAAGTTGTTATTTCTCATTAAGCGTAAAAGTGTTTACATGTACAGTATATATAGTGAATAAAATTACATGTGAGTAAAAACTATTTACATGTATTACTATACTCTAATATTATGCACATTTATATTGGGTTTATTGCAAGAGCGCTAAAGTTGTTATTCAAAATGTGGAATCATGAAACAACACCCCTAATCGTAGCAGTCATGTTGACAAAAGAAAAATAGCAGTCGCTCTCGTTTATAAATAAGACTTTCGAGCACTCATTATTGTATGTATAGTCAATACCTTGTTAGGTGAGTATATATTACTTTGCTACCTGAGGTAAACGAATATAAAACATGTTAAATTTTGACAAAACAAAAACAGATTTTAAAACACATTCTTTGAAAAAATTCCACTTAATCATGCAGCCTTTGAAATAAATATTTAAAAGAGGATTTAACAGTAGAATATACTTTTAAACGTATATATATGTAAGTTAGACTAATCAATTTGGCTAGGTGCAGTGATTGGAGTCTGGAGATCGATAAGACGATAACATGATTAAGCCTTCCATATTTATTGCAAAAAATTACACATACTCCAAACTCTTCCCTTCGTTTCAAATTCATAATCAATCATAAACCATTCGTGACAAAAAGAAGAAGAAAATAATTTTTTTTTAATCGAATTGCATAGGATTAGAAAGACCAAAAAAAATATAGAAAATAATAAATCATGCTCTACGAGACTATGAACAATATAGCGAAAGAAAAAAGAGAGGATAAAAGTACATACAAGAACCCAACAACCTCTTCTGTCATTGGAGAGGAAATGACCCTAACATGTGCGATATTATTATGGTGAAAATTTTAAAAAGAACTTCTCGTACATAAATGTTTGAAATTACTTATATAGCAAAGGACATAAATAAAATAACAAAGTGTGTTTAACTGATGCAGACGTACATGCGAAAAAGGTGTCTCGAAATCGACCTGGAAATGATGTCGCATTTGTCCATTACTCAAATCTTTTTGCAACACTAATTCAATCATTATTTGCTGAAGGAGACATGTCTTAGCTATGAAACAAATTCCAAAACTATGTCACAAGCGTAATTACAATCCCTGACCCGGTGAAGAAAAATACCAAAATGAGCATCCGTACCTGATTTTTGGGATTGGATTAGAGATTTAGAGCAGGACATCCAAACTATGTCACAAGCATAATATCATCACATTTTGTGCTTTCGTGGAGTGGCGATCAATATGTACTACTTCCTTTTGCGTTCAAGTGATTTTCGGTGCTCTTCTGATAAGTTGAAGTGGGAGGTCATCCTCTGTGAGGAGAGGATTGAAACACAAAAGAAGAGGAAATAATCTTTGTTGTTTTATCTGTGTATTTGTGTAATATATCCAATGGTACAAATTTCATCGCATAATTGTTGTTTTCTTCTTATAGATTATATTGGAAAAAATCCATAACTTTCTATTTATATCTTATCATTTACTATTTTATGAATTTATTGTAATTTCTTTAGATGGTCCTCTCTACTTGAAGCGAAGTTGGCCCACAGTCAACAATAAATTTTCGTTTTATTCTTTCACGAAAGCTTGATAAGAAAAAAATATATATATACACAGACACATGCATAAGTAAGTATAGATTATGTCAAAGAAAAATGGATGTCGATTATTTGTGTTAGAGTTCTGTTTTGTTAAAATTCCATAGGCAGATGGATAAAAATCAAAGGATGTGTGTGTAAATTGTTGAATCCACCATAGTTATATCTTAATAATATTTTGTCGAAATTAGGAAAAATATAAACGTCTAAACACCAATAATGGTGTCCAGAAATCACGTGACAAATGTTTCATAATTTGTTTTACAAATGAAAAAATGATAAGAGGTTACTATAAAAGAAAAACATTTGGTAAAAAAAGTCGTCAAATAAAACAGAAGCGGACCACGTAGGTGCCCATTTGCATGTCTTTTGGATTTTTTCAGGTAGTTATATAGGATTTCCGTAGAAAACGATTAAAATCAAGAAAAATAGAAATGTCGACCAGTAAATTCGTAATGTCTGGTATTTATAAAGTTAAGATGTAAGAGATAGTAAGTATTATATAATTTGATGTAGTTTAAAAAGTATATATATATATGGTGAAAATTTTAACTTTATTAAGTGATTTTGTTATGAGAATATATATCATTTTCTAAACGATTAATTGTAACAGTATTTTACCCTACAATTAAAAAAAAAAAACAGTATTTTACCCTCGCGATTCCATTTTCGACACTCTGATAAAAATGATGTTAATTAAGAAATGTAAGGTTTGCCCAAAAAAAAAAAAATTAGAAATGTAAGGAAGTCTAATCCCCGGGGGAATGAATAAATGAGAGTAGAATTGAAGATGCATGGAATGGTGTGTGGGAAAGGCAAAGCACATGCCTTCACAAGTTGCGTGAGGGCAAAGTATCTATTTCCGGTGAAAAACTATCATGCACTCTCAGCCGTTGGATCACTTTCTTCCTTCATCATGCTTCCGTCATCCTCTTTGCTCCTACGCCATCTTGTATTATATAGTAGTAGTATTCATTTACTAATTTTTACTAGATTTTCTTACGGACTAACCTTCGTTTCAATAAATAAACAAATTGCTTCCTAACTTTCAATTGTTTCTCAAAAAAAAAAAAAAAAGTTAAGTCATTCAGAGTTATCAAATTTGAAGAGCTTAACTGGTACATTAGAGTGGACATATACTATATGTCAATTATTACAGAATATAATATAACAACAATTACACTAGTTTACCAATATATATTTTCTCAATCAATTAGATTGTAAGGATAAATAGAGATTGGTATTGTTTCATTCCAAAACTGTCAGACAGTAAATATTTTTAATCAGTATTAATGTTGGAGCTTAATTATTTTTATTTAATACTGTATGTTGGAGTTTATTTTTTACTATTTTTAACATGTTGGTCTGGGCAGGGGTTAGGTTAGATGGATGGTATAAATATATGTATAAACATTAAATATGAATTTTATAATAATTATTTAAAGTATCCTTTTTTTCTTTCCCAGAGAAGCTCAAGATCAAACATGCTCGGCCTTATTCAGTAGTTTTTATAATATTTTCTGCAGCTATTCTGCTATTGTTTACTCTCCTACCTATTAGACCTCCCAATTGTTAGTCATCTTTTATTCCCCTAAAATAGACCCAATAAACAAATGTATATGTATATATATATATATATATATGTACCCTTAAGCTGAAGAAAAACAATTTAAGTATAAGCTTGAGGAAAAAAATAGTATATTACCATCACAAAAGATTTTGTAGAACTTAAGTTAGAAAAATATCTTGTAACTTGAATCCATGACGTAACAGTATTTTTACCTTAGATGGGAAAGGTAGTGCAAAAAAAGCGTCGATAGTATTTATGAAAGTAAAGAACGCGTCTACACCTTCTTAAACTATAGTATATGACTATATGCTTTAAGATTATTATATTCTATTTCAAAGAAAAAATATATTCTTAATGTAAAATTATTTGGTAAATAATGGATTAATATATATATCCTTTATATTTTTGTAGTAAATTATATAACAACATTCGTTAACACTAGAAATGATGCTGCAATTAAATATCAGTGTAATGCTAATGACAAACTTTGATTGTGTTCGTCAAATCCCCAAAATAGATATAAGTATATATATAACTTACCAATGAAAAGGCTTTTTAAGAACCTGAGACTAAACACTGATGACGAATGCTAACGTTAGTGCATCGACCATCGAACACGGCCTAACTATACGTATCATTTATATCACACAGTTGACTGTGAATTACGTGTAACTTTTTTCAGATAAAATGTGTATTATTGCTCTATTAATTGCGTCGAAATAACAAGCAACATATCTTTTGTTTTTCTTCTTTTGGTAACATTTCGAGAAGCACGCAAAGAACATAATTTTTTTCAGGATGTTACTAAGAAATGACATCAAAAAACAAATTGACCATTATTTTTTCTCCCAATAATTGCATTTATCTTTTCAAATGGGTCATATCCTTCTAACTCTAAATAGGTTGATTCTTTGGGTTTTCGTGTAGCCTAACTTTTTTTTTTTTTTTTAAATTAAACCTTTTAGTTCTTCTTTCTTGTTTATATATTCCTCCTAAGTCCTAATCACCAACCTCACCTGAGTATACCTTTTCATATCCCCTACAAAATTATACCATAATACATAATTAGCATATATTTTCCTATTATAAATCTTTATATTAATACTGAAGTATCGTCATACTTCAAATTCAAATCGTGGAATCCAGTGTGTTTAAGAAAAAAATCACCGAACATGATCGTACATACATAAATATGATATAGGCAAATAGAATAAGAAAAAAGGAAATAGTACTGTAAATCAATAAAGAATACGGACTGCAAGAAGTAGAAAAAAGTAATAATGATGGAAAAAGATAAAACATCACGCAAAACCTTAAAAGAAAGAAAGTCTTCTGGTTGTCGTGTGTTACTCTCTCCTCAAATAGTTAGCCAAAGTTTTCACGTCAAATTTTTAACCCTCAAAAACACCATTTTTTCATCTCTCTCTCCTTCGTATCATACTATATTAGAACTACGAGTACCCACCTCTCTCTTTCACCTAACCCTCTCTCCCTATACTCTCCATTCGCTCTCTACCTCTCTCTCTCTTTCGCTTTCTATCTCCTAGAAAAATGTCAGTCAACCATTACTCCACAGACCACCACCACACTCTCTTGTGGCAACAGCAACACCGCCACACCACCGACACAACGGAGACAACCACCACCGCCACATGGCTCCACGACGACCTAAAAGAGTCACTCTTCGAGAAGTCTCTCACACCAAGCGACGTCGGCAAACTCAACCGCCTCGTCATACCAAAACAGCACGCAGAGAAATACTTCCCTCTCAATGCCGTCGTAGTCTCCTCTGCTGCTACTGACACGTCATCGTCGGAGAAAGGGATGCTTCTAAGCTTTGAAGACGAGTCAGGCAAGTCATGGAGGTTCAGATACTCTTATTGGAACAGCAGTCAAAGCTATGTCTTGACTAAAGGATGGAGCAGATTTGTCAAAGACAAACAGCTCGATCCAGGCGACGTCGTTTTCTTCCAACGACACCGTTCTGATTCCCGGAGACTCTTCATTGGGTGGCGCAGACGTGGCCAAGGCTCCTCCTCTGCCGCAGCCACTAACTCCGCCGTGAATATGAGTTCTATGGGAGCTCTTTCTTATCATCAAATCCACGCCACTAGTAATTACTCTAATCCTCCCTCTCACTCAGAGTATTCCCACTACGGTATATATTTCTCTTTTTAACCAAATTATTTGACTCTTTTTTTTTTATCAAATAATTTTAATCTCTTTTTCTTTTGACATTTTTTATTTTTCTACGAATGAATTGTTCGTGTCCTAGAGTATCGACTATACAATGTTGTCGGGAGGATTAAAACATTACACCCAAATGTAGATATTTATAGCTAATAGTGTACGATAAATTATATTTAGTTCTACAAAATACTATATGCTTCGGTTTATCAAAAAAAAAAAAATACTATATGCTTCATTATTAAAAACCTGAGATAAGTAACGTTATTATACAGCTATTAAGTAATAGAAGAAAAAAAAATGACCACCTCGACTGCTTAATTTCTCCAAGTTGTAGTTAATATAGTAGCTATACACGCGCATATAAGAGCGCGTGAAGAAGACCGTCCAATCCCCTGGGACAAACGTGCTTTTTGTTCAGTTGTGTACTTTTGTGTTTTTGTTTTTGTTTTTGGTTTCTTTCAATTAATTAATGACACGCACGTGTCGGTGATTACAGGAGCCGCCGTAGCAACAGCGGCTGAGACTCACTCCACACCATCGTCATCCGTCGTCGGAAGCTCAAGGACAGTGAGGCTTTTCGGTGTGGATTTGGAGTGTCAAATGGATGAAAACGACGGAGATGATTCTGTTACCGCCGCTGCCACCACCGTTGATCTCCCGATGGTTACTACGGCCAAAACATGTACTATTATTACTCTCATCCTCATAATATGGTAATTAAACTATTTTAACTCTTTTAAATGTTATTTATATATCTGATTCAGTTTAGGTAGAGTTACATTACATCATCATCATATACTATTATTAAAGATACATTATTTAAAAAACAGATGGATGACGCTGTTTCTCGAGACGAGACAGTTGAAATTATAATTAAATAAACGAGATTGATTAGGAGCAAATAATTAATTGATATAATGAAGACTAGAGGAAGGAATCAGGAATCTGTTAAGAGAGACACTAGACTTTTGAGCAGTCGCACATGGCCACTTTGTTAGTGACTTTGATTTGTTTTTTTGTCTGAGCCCACTTTCATTTATTTTAGTATTACATAGTTTTTAACTAACCCTAATTATATATAAAGTATATATGTTGGTCTCAGACTCAGTAATCACTGTTGCTTTTCTTGTTTACTGGCGCCGCAATGTTATTCTTATAATGCTAAAGAAAAGAAAATGACTATGAGCATGAATAAGGAAATGTGTACAAATTTGATGTTTTGTTATAATTATGGATGTTACAATACAGAGTTTCTTATTATTATTACTATGTGTTATATTTTGGAAAAAAAAAAAAAACAGAATATAGCTTTCACGGGGGAACGATGAAGGAGCTGAGAGATAAGACGACGAGGATGAGAGATCCAAAGAAGTGACAACATTTTCGGAATTGACTTAAAAGCTTTATGGGACCAGACTTTGTAGCCACATAGGCCATTTTTCTGGCAATTTGTATGCAATTTTTAATAATATCTCATTAGCTTCCGTACTGTATGTAACTAATTTGGAAAAGAAAAAAAAATCGCTGAATTTGAGGAAAAAGTCTTTTTTTTTCTTTACTTCCAAAGTCAGAGAAGAAGAGCAAATTTGTTTAACTCATAACTAAAAAAAGCTAGGTTTTCTCCAATTGATATGATGATGATGATGTATTCACATACATGCATTATGTATAGTTGTACTTGTCAAATGATGATTTTTTTTTGGAGGGGTGAAAAAGATGAAATTGGGAGATTGTTATAGAAACAAAAGTGGGGCCAACCAAATGGTGTTTATTATTGTGGAGTTTACTATATTCATGTTTTCACCTTTTTACTAGCCTCTTTGATAGTTTAACTTTTTTTTTGTTTGGTGAACAATGGCAATTGTAAAACAAGTTCAATTTTGGGAGAGAAACCAAAAATGTAAGGGAATGGTTCAATTCAAATCAGATCAATCAAGTCACAAGTATATATATCAATGTAAGTTATCTCTGAAGACTGAGAGTCTACAAATTTTGACAAAAAGAGATAAAAAAAAGAGTCCTACAAGAAGCTGTTTTTTCATGTACTAAGGTCAGATGAACAGTGAATCATCTGTTGAAAGCGATTGTCTATTCATGTACTGCTTCTTTTAGTGCTCCTTCTCTCATATAAAAGAAAAATCAATCATTGGGATCAGTTATCCACCTCCATGTGCTTCCAAAAAGAGTTTTGTGGTATGATCCATCCAATGATATCTTTTCACACATACATTGTTTCTTCATCATTTCTATATCTCTTTGAAAACCACTAAACATGGGTTTTGAAGCCATAATCCCATGGGTTTTAACCAGCTTTCTGATATAACCCTCCTATATTACTGCAACAGAAATACAGTGTCCATTTACAGATCTAACCTAAAACCAAAGAGTTGTTGAAGAGAATTGATGTGTTGCGTTTTTAACGGTTTCGAGTCTTGGTTTAGTCCATGTTTTGAGTCATCTATCGTATCAAAGTCCGTCTTTTGCGCCTTTTCGGTTGTGTCTTGAGTCCTTTGCAGGCTATAGGTGCTCGAGCTGGATTCGGAGCATCTTGTGCATGATTGAGCCTATTCGGAGCTAAAACAATGGAGAAACGGTACAAGAGATCACCAGGAGCTGGGGATCGATCGATCCAAGGCGTGGATCGATCGATCCCAATTGTGACGATGAAACCAAAAGTTCCAGTCGCTCGAGATCGATCGATCCCAGGAGGGGATCGATCGATCCAACCCTCATTCGTCCGAGACAATTGATTCAGCATTTCTGGATCGATCGATCCACCCATGGGATCGATCGATCCAACCCTCATCCGTCCAAGACCGTGATTCAGCATATCTGGATCGATCGATCCACCCATCGGATCGATCGATCCGAGCCTCGACGCCCGAGACGGTTTTCCTAAACCGGGTTTTGTCTTCCTTTTTTTTTTTTGTACTTGGGTATAAAAACCCCAGAGACCTAATTTTCTTTTCACGTTTTTTTTCTGCAATTTTTCTGAGACTTCTCTCTTGTAAGCAACCTTGGGATTCTAGAGATTCATCCTCTTTGACAATTTGGAGAAGATTTCTAAACCCTATTTCTTATTTTCATTGCAATTCAATTATGTCTTCTTCATCTATTTGTCTTGTTTCTGTTGCTATGTGTGAGTAGTCTTTTAATTAGGTGTTAGGGTTCTAATTAGGAGATTCGATAGATTAATGGATTAATTGTTGTTTGGAATTCTCATTCTCTAGGTTCTTTGATTCACATGTTCTTAATGCTAGAATAGGATTGATCACCCTGTTGTAGAACCTAGGTTTTTCTATGCATCAAAAGTGTTCGATAGAATGCCTGAAAGAATGTGAATTGAGCAATGTATTTCTAGCCAACGAAAGTTGAAGTTAGGACGCATTGTGAACTAAATGAACTTGTTTGATAATGCGAATTTGACTAGGAAATTACATGCGAAAGTTTAGTAATCGAGTAGTCAAATTTAGTGATTAATGTCTTGAAAGAGAATTAGTCTAAGTTGTGTTCATGTTCAAGAACGGTTCGTAATTGTTGAATTCCTTGTCCCATGTTTCCATTGTTTATTGATCTCTGAAATACCCTAATGCCTAATGTCTTTAAATCTTGAAACTTAAATCGTTTAATTTAATTGCATTTTTATTTTACAATTCGGAAAACTCAAACAAAACAACTTTTTAGTTTTAGCTAAGAACAAGTCTCGAAAATCCTTAGAGTATCTTTGGTCTTTGTGGATCGACCTCGAATATACTGCCTAACGGTTAAGTGTATTGAGTTAATTACTCGAGCAATCAAGTTGGCGATTCCCAACGTAACTCTCGAATATCACCTTTACATCAAAACATTATTCTCCATCCTCAACAAGTCTGTTGAATCATCTACTTACATTAATCGTCGACTCTAGCTAATCAGCTAATAGTTATGCGGATGTGGTGATACGCATAGACTTAACTCTCTTATGTCATAGACTTATCTAATTCCTCTACAGGCAAGAGATTTCTAGTCAGACAGGGTACTCTAAGTCTCTAAGACTAGTCCCAAGGCTGCTTTTATGTCAAGAGAACCTGTTGCTCAGAAACTATAGGTAGTGAGACGGCTATAGCTTGGTCATGACTTATGAGTAATAGAAAAGCAAATTTCCATTCTACAATCATTTAAGTGGATGCTTTGTCAAAAAGAAGCTGTCGAAACTATCTGCGTAAGGCACCAATGTAGTAAAGCTAAATCTTGATTGGACAGAAAGTTTGCATAACAGAGATGGAAACAATACAACCTTATCATGACCACTCACTACCTACAAATATTCGGGTTGTATGCGCACATGTCCCAATTTTAAGTGCAGTAGCAAGTGCTAATCTTTAAGGCAAGCGCATTTGTTGACTTGACAGCATAGGTCGATAATCAACAGGTAATGCAAAATGAGTTTTAAGCTGCTTTCGTTTCGATCTTACTTAGCCACAGGTGATTTTTTTAAGGGCCCATGAAGATTCAGAAAAGATACTTACTTGTTGACTTGAAGGCTAATTGATCTCCGCTCAATGGTTTAGTGGCTCTGTAAGTGGGAGAGGGACCCTCAGCCATGTGCCATTATCACTAGTCTTTGAAGCTTTTGGCTAAAGTTTAGATGCTCAGTGGCCTCCTCCTGCATTAAGGGTTTGTCCTGCAATAAAAGTTTTTATCATAACAAGACTTAAAGTACAGTTCTGAATCGACTGCTCAACTTTTCCCTTGAAATCTATCTGATATCTATGCTTTTTAACAACTTCTAAGGGCCAGCCAACTTTTTCTGCAACAGCATTATGAAGACTGTTACAGATAGCATGGATTAAAATTCCACTAACTATGCTTTTAACGTGGGAAGAAAACAAGGGTATGGAGATTACCAAAGAAAATTGAAAGTCTTTCCTCTGAAAAAACGAAACATCTTTTTCAAACAGTTGCTTACACTATTGTTTCAGCATGTCCAAATAATCCCCTGAGTCCTTCACCAATACAAGGTACCCGTGCAATGAGCCAGCTTGTGCTCAGAAAAGTCCTGGAGAATGAAATCTGAATAAGCTGTAAAGGGAATCAAAACCCATCACAATATATCATTAAGTATCACATAAGTTTCTGTAACATGTCCTCCATGCAGCAGTTTCACAGAGAAGAGGCTGCGAAAATTGGAACTTAAATCTATGAAGCACATTTGTCAAGCTAAATGTTTTTGGTTTCTAGAAGTTACTTCACAAATAGGGTACATTGAGCATGAAAGACTAAGTAGTTGATAGAAATCTTTTGATTGTTGTGGTACACCATCAAAGAACCCAAAATCTAGCTACGTACATACTCGCATTCACATATTAAACCCTGCTTTTGGAGCTAACTAAAAGGTCAGGTAGTCTTTTTGGACTTGTCAGATTCATCTGCAGGGGCTTCAGACTCTGCTTTACTCTGCATAACTTGCTGCAAACCCTCATGGTAGCCTTTTATAAAGCTTGCAAGAGCATCTTTATAATGAGAAGCTCGTGTCATGTACAGACGATGTAAAGCAGGCCTTAAAGTCTCCATGCCACCTCTTGCGGCTACCGCTGTATCGAAGAGTAACATGAAAAGAATGAAAAACAAGCGATTTTGAATAAAAGGATAGACATAGATTATACACTTTAGCGGCAGTGAATTTTAGCTGGGAAAAGCACTTCTCAATATCAATAACAAACGTTTGGTGACACCAACGGAGAAGCATTACTAATAGTTCTAAGAAGATGTGCTAGCCAGATTACAATTTCAAATGACTGCCATTACCAACTTCAATTATTTCTTTGAATATAAGTCAGATACATATAAAGTAGGCAATAGCTTAATAGAAGTTCTTACCAAGATCTTCCAAAACAGAGGGCTCGTTCTCTGTCTCTTTAGCTTGTTTTTTAGGTTCAGCATCCCCTTGCTTCTTGTAGTCATTTGGACGAAGTTCAGGACCTATATCTCGCACCCAGCTTGCAGCATAAAGCCTTGAAGCTTCCTTCAACACCTAATCACAACCATGAATATTTCACACAGTGATTAGCACTAAATTTACTATCATCTAGAGAAGAAAGCACCAATTACTCTGATAATAGTGAGAAGTGGGATTACAGACTTGTTGTAGAAAGGAAGAACCTTTTAGCACAAACTAGATAATTCTCACATTTGTTTTCCAGATATTCCACAATATATATAAATGAAATCACACGCTTCCAGATTCTGTATCATCTCAAAACTCTGCTGATTAAGGACCTAATTGAGAATTCATTCACTCTAAATCGGACCAAAAAAAAAAAACAAATAGAGCACAAGAAGATCAGAGCACGGAAAAAAAGCGAACTTTGTTTATCTTTGAAAGAAAGTTTTGAATACCCAGATCATATACACAGAAAAATACCGGGAATTTCAAAGAAAAAGAGGAAGAGAGAGTGAAGGAAGCTCACGAGAAATCGCTCGTGCCACGTCAATTTGCGGCGTTTAACGACGTGGGGAGGATCGGGAAGTGATGAAGGTAAGACGATTTCTTTGAGATCGTAACGAATGTAATCGGAGACCTTACGATACACAACCTTCAGCTTCATCTTTCACTATCCCGGAGAAGAGACAGTCGCCGATCGCAGATCAGTACTCAGCGCCGGTTTAATTTATTTGGGAACTGGGACGGGATTATAAAGTTTGGTTTAGGATTCGGTTCACTCTGATAATGATTTAATTGCTCGGTTTAGCTGATTGTATTGAAACAATCATATCTTTCCCACAAAACCGAAAATTTAGGGAAGGAAACATCAAACAATCTTTCCTTTTTAGGAAACATCAACAATATTATTACAAAGTAAACCATCAGATTGGCCGGTTCAATTTTGTTACAGACTAAGGGCATAGCACAAAACCCCATAAGTTGGAACACATCGAAAGGACCCAAGAAGCTTCAATCAAACACTAATTTGCACAAAATGGTAGTTTTGTTAAATATCATTTTCTACTTAATTATTTATGATATATATTTTTCTTCAAATCATTGTATCTACCAAATAAATGAGTAACAATTAAACTACAAGTATATTTGTATCCCATTATGATTCTATAATGAAATGTAAAAGACACTTAATTAGACCAAAAGGGTGCATCGTGCATCTTGCAGCTTGATGACATGTTTTCAACACGGTTCGACAAACAAAGCGATTTAACAAACTGAAATTAGTTAGACGTGACGTCGTCGCTAATCACAATCCGGAAGATGTGAAGACGATGAACGTGGGGTCAAGGAAGCTTCCACCATGAATCAATAATGATACACACACTAATTAAGTAATTATTTGATTTATTCCTTACATATGATTTTTATTTTTATTATTCCTTATAAGTTTGACGTCTCTCTCCCTCTGGTACACACACTAATGACTTTTTATTATTCCTTAGGGAAAAAGAAGAAGACTTGTTCAAAGAGAGAAAGAAGAGATCACACACAACATGGATCATCATCAACTCATCTCCCTCTGCTCATTTTCGTACATCTTCAAGATTAAGAAACATCTCTTCGTTAGCCTCTTTCTACTTAGCATCCTCATCTTCTCGAGCGTCGTCGTCGACGTCTTGCCCTTTCTTCGTATCGGATTGTTATCGTCGTCCTCGTCGCAAACCGTAACAAAGGAGTGCGATTACTCCGAAGGCAGATGGGTTCGTCGAACAGGAACATCATCTGATAATGGATTACTATACGGTGAAGAGTGTCGCTTTCTTGATTCCGGTTTTCGTTGTCATAAGCATGGAAGAAAAGACTCTGGTTATCTTGATTGGCGATGGCAACCACACGGCTGCGATCTTCCACGGTAACACATTGTGCCACGTCACCATTCTACTTTTTTCTTTTAAAAATGTATTTCTTGCTTGGACCTTAAGTTATATATTGATTCTATTGCAAAGGCGTTTGAGTTACAAGCTAAACACAAGAGATTAGGGTCTGGTTCACTTTCTTCTGACTAAAGAAAGCTTTGCTCTGTCTCGTTTACCTTAGTTCGCATTTGCTTTTGTTTCTTTAGCAGTTAATGATCAGTGTTTTTCTTTTTTTGGCTATTGAATGGTTTAGATTTAACGCAAGTGATTTTCTTGAGAGGAGTCAGAACGGGAGGATAGTGTTCGTGGGAGATTCTATCGGAAGAAACCAGTGGGAATCTCTTATGTGCATGCTCTCACAAGCAATACCTAATAAATCTGAAATCTATGAAGTAAATGGGAACCCCATAACTAAACACAAGGGCTTTCTCTCCATGCGATTCCCTCGGCAAAACCTCACTGTTGAGTATCACAGAACACCCTTTCTTGTCGTGATTGGCCGGCCACCGGATAAATCACCGAAAGATGTCAAAACCACTGTGAGAGTCGACGAATTTAACTGGCAGTCAAAAAGATGGGTCGGCTCAGATGTTCTGGTCTTCAATTCAGGGCATTGGTGGAACAAAGACAAAACTGTGTTAACGTATGAAAAATCCCTCAGCTTCTATGATCAGAATTCGACATTCTCTTCCTTTTTAACTGAGTTTATTTTTTTGTGTGTGCAGGGGATGCTATTTTGAGGAGGGAAGAAAAGTGAACAAGACAATGGGAGTGATGGAGGCATTTGAAAAGTCTTTGAAGACATGGAAGTCATGGGTCTTGGAGAAACTTGATCCTGAGAAGAGTTACGTCTTTTTCAGAAGCTACTCTCCAGTGCACTACAGGTTAGAACATATTCAAATAAAAGTTGTTATACTATCTTCTTGCGAGACCAGGGTCTTTAAAAGTTTTGAATCCTTCGTTGTTTCAGAAATGGGACATGGAAATCGGGTGGTCTATGTGATGCAGAGATTGAGCCTGAGACTGATAAAAGGAAGATGGAACCTGATGCGAGTCAAAATGAATATGTCTATAAAGTAATTGAAGAAATGAGATATAGACATAGTAAGCTTAAGTTTCTGAACATTACGTATCTGACAGAGTTCAGGAAAGATGGTCATATTTCTCGGTATCGAGAGCAAGGCACTTCTGTTGATGTTCCTCAAGACTGTAGCCACTGGTGCCTACCCGGCGTACCAGATACATGGAATGAGATTCTCTATGCGCAACTCTTGTCAATGAACTATAGAACAAAGTGATTTCTTGAGGTATAGAATGAATTTATGTATCTTGATCTAGTCATGATTCTGTTTCATCAATGCCTTCTTCAGGCTCTGTTTCATTTGTTTGCATTTGCTTGACCTTCTCGAGCTGTCTCAACAGGTTCAACCTTTCGGCTCCGTAGGTTGAAGGTATCTGAACAAAAATAAAGAAATTTTTTGTCAACTTGATAGTAGAAATGGAAGAAATGTACAGAAGAGAAGAAGCAAGTACAAAAGAAGCATTACCAAGCCTGGTACATATCTCTGAATTGCAGCAAGCATAGCCGCATGACCAACTGCTGTGACCTGTTAGACATAAGTGTACAGAATAGCTTAGTTCAAAGACTCAGACACTTTTTTTTTTTTTGTTCAACAATTCAAAGACTCGGACATATTTGTAAATGTAATGATGCAGTGATTGGTTTACGGGATTTGTACAAAGAGCAACCCAACAAACCAGTATAACGTTGAAGAAAACAGAAACGGTATTATGAGGATGAACAACCAACGCGAGTGGAGATATGATTTTGGTGAAATTGAGAAGGTTAGTTTTTACTCACAGGAAGAAGCATAAGAACACCAATGGGAACAACTGATGCTAAGTCAGTCATGGTTCTGCGTAGGGCTTTCTTCTCTTTCTCTGTTAATTCATCTCCTACCACAGACCTCCGAAGGAGCTCCATAGCAGCAGCTGAATCAAACGCAAGAAGCTGAGTACCTTGCCACACGTCCTGTCATAATATCCCAGTAAAGTGCAATGTTAGTAACTAAGTCACGAAGTACGCAAATAGTAAAGGAACAAAGCTGATCAGGAAACGCTGGTTCGGTTAATGAACCGAAGATGCATATGCCATGAGGCTTGGAATGACATTCATACCGTAGTGGTTTCTTTAAGTTGGTCAAGAGTTTTCTCGATGACACTTTCTTTCTTTGAGCTCTGAACCAACTGCACACCTTTCATACTGCTGCTTAATTTAGGAAGATCTTCAGAGGTTCGTCCCTACAGAACATAGAGATATTTAGAATATTGACTATATAGAAACAAATCAAAAATCTAGCAGCAGCGTCTGACTACTAATTACTAACCTCTTCATTTACCGACTCATCTGTACTTCCTTGGACACGCTTCTCCAGCTCTATAAGTTCGTTCCTTAGAAGTTCGAACCGATAGATCTCATTGGGGTTGGAATCCACACTATCTACATTTTCTCTGGATTTCTCAAAATATTCATCTGTCTGCATAATGTAATACCGAAAATGGTTGGATTAAACATAGTATGAAGACCAAATTAGTAATACCAAGTAACGGACTGAAAAACGAATACTACTATGCAGAAATAGCCCCAAAAATAAGATCTGAGATATTCTTTAGGATAGAACATAAGATAAGAAAATGAACCATACCAATGACTCGGGGCCAGGCTTCCTTCTTGGAGTGCGAACAAAGAACCCCCAAAATCCACGATCCCTACTAATGTAGATGCAAAACAATAAATAAGTTTCCACAACCAGAGGAAAACAAAAAGGAACCTACGTTTATAACTCAAATGCAAAGAAGGAATTATTAACAAATAGAACAGGCAACATACTTTGTGCCTTGATCTACAGAATTTATTGAATTCTTTGTGTCTTTTCCTTTTAGATACTGGCTTTGTTCCTTAGAGTACTCCTGAGAGTCACTGTCACCACCTCCCTATATGAACCATATGAGGTTTTAGTCGTCCACAAACGTTCTAAGAAAATCAAATGCATTTTGCAAGGATCTATTTCTCATATTACAAGCACCCATTGAGACTGATGCCACACTTCGTAATGAGGGTGAAGATTGGTGTAGGCTATGGACAGTCTACCAAACTCAATCGTCAGTACTAAGATATCAATCCTAAGTGCATCAAAGAAAAACAATCTGTAATAACAACTAAAAACCTCTTGAAGGGAAGCTGCTTTGGCTCTGAAAGATGCCTCTAAAAATTCAGCCTCTTTCTTGAGCTTCCTTATTTTTTCTAGGTCAGAGCAAGCAGCTTTTATTTGTTCCTTTCCAGAAGCTGAGCTTGATGCATGCAATTTCTGTAGCAAGCTTTCCAGTCTCGCGAGAGCTTCATCTACACTCTCTAGAGCCTGAGAAATAACTGCCGTTAGAATCTATAGTACATGTGATAGTCAACGGAATTGTTAAACAAAAAACTGGATTCAGATAGTGTGCGGAAAAGTGAAGTGGTTTTTCATGACAAATTCATAGGATACAAACCTTGTCAAATGAACTTGACTCTCCATCAGTTGAGGATGAGTTCATGTCAATAAAACCCGCTTCTGTTACTGCTAAACTGCATCACACAATCCAATTGCACACAGCCAAATTACTTGATTGTTAACTAAGAAAGTATGCTCCACAACAGGGGATGCAAGAATGCAAAATGCATAGGGATGGATATGTAAGGCGTTCCAAAGATGGATACACGAAGCTTCTTTCTACACAATTCATCGCTCTTCATGAGCTTACCTTGATATTCCCAGTTCTTCCTGGCACTGGATTAACTTGTTGTGCCTAAAGAATTGAAAATGAAAAAATCAATATGATCGCCAATTACTTTGTTTTTATCCAATTTATTTTATAAACTTGTTCTTAAATACCCCTTGGATAAGAATTTCGCTGCCTTGACATTAGAAGGATTCTCAGGCCATTTGCTGTACTTAATAAAGCTCTGTAGCCAATAAGAGCAAACATTCAATATCTGTGGAAGAGCATCATAATTAGGTGGCCCTTGTGGTCTGCTTTTATGCCCGTGTGATTGTTCGGCTGGCTGGGAGTCCTTTCTGGTTGGATAGAAAGGAATCCAGTCTAGTTCTTCACAGACAACCTACGCTATAAAATTCCATGATAAGATTTCAAAATAGTTGGTGTTCAAAAAAAAAAAAAAAAGATTACAAAATAGTTAAAAGGAAATTTTAACCAGTGATGGTATGACTTATGCCTACCTCTACATACAACTGGTAAGAACTGATGGCTGAAAGCTGGGGATATTGTAGGAGACTTCCCCCAATGAAGTGCCTAAATAAAGAAGATAGCGAATTCAAGTTATAGGGTGTATCAAAGAGTATGGCAAGCAAACAGAAGCAAAACGTTGAGTCACCTAACAAGGTCTTCCACAGGATTCTCCAGCGAACTGAAACCATTTGCAGCTAAAAAAGACTGGGTGCTCCTGCCCAAGGCAATGAAGAATCCAAAAATAGCTAAATCTCTTTCCAAAACCTGCAAGGCATCACCAACAAGTCCTGATAAACCCCTAAGATATTTCCCGAGCAAGTGTGCAACCATATTTTTTACTGATTTCAACAATCGATGAATCGAAACACTCTATGAGTTATAAAACTAAAAAATAAACAGATTTCTGTTTCGATAAGTGTCACTTTATGAAGATCATAGATAGTGTCCCTTGAGTTTGCAAACTGTTTCGGCTATGCTCTTATATTCTAAACAGTACTTACAAGAAAATGCATAGCAAATGATATATCAATAAATCCAACATGGAATTGGCTGTCCCAAATGGATCCTTCCCTTGCACATAATTCTTTGATATTTTCAAATACTATGAGCTCACATCCATACTGCACAGAGATTCTAAAAGCTGCTAAGATTTGTCCTCTACAGGTTTCTATTCATTACCTCGATACTTTCAGACGTTGTTAATCTTGACCATATTTTCTCCCGATCAATAGCCCTCAGCAGTTGGTTTTGTATAAGATCGACCCAGAAGACAACCTCATCTGTACCGCAGTCACTTTTTACTCTGCATGCCGCTGCCCGAGGTCCAAAATGAACAAGAAATTCTTTGCGAAGACCGAGGCTTTTCATTGAATGATAGGCCTGAGGTAACGGAACAAAGTCAACAAATTTGTCCATCAATCTCCCTGTAGTATCTGGAATCACAGAAAAGAAAGGCGGGCACGAAATTTTTGTCGGGCCAAGTTTTGTCACTGCTGCGATGCAATTCAGCACAAGCATGAGAAGTGACACCTCAATCTCATTGCTTGCAGCTGAGGACTTGCCTTTGACGTAGCTGAAAATGAAACATAAAGCTTCATCACTTTCCAAAAACCTCACAGTCAAACGAGTGCTTTACAGAACGTACTAATATGAAGAGAGTAAAAAGAAATGACATACACAGAAGTTGCAGAAACAAATCGTTGGTCCCCCTCAAAACAATTCACAAAAGATGTCACCGCTGAAGGAACTTGCTCAGACCAAAACCACTCATTGGCTTCAGGATGACTGGAAGATAGTTTATCCCGCATCATACAATCAAGAGGAGCAGCTTGGCGTGATAAACTGCAAGATGTGATTATTTAAACATGATTAAGACCTATGAAGCAGCAACATAGGATTATAATTAGACATCAACTGAGTTTTAAAAAGCTTTCAACGTTAGTGAAAGGAAACTCTTTGGAAGACTGTGGGGAATATAAATCAAACCAATACCACATAAATCTCAAACTAAGTACTTTGTTGCATTCTCTTTCAAAGACAAGAACAAAAATTTCTATTAGATCAAGAGCACAACGAAATGTTGACAATCTAGTAATGCTGCATGCCATAGTTCTTAGGCCTTAAGTAAGTGGTGCAGTACCTCCTTTGCACAAAGACATTAAGATCATCGTCTCTATTGTTTCCTCTAGATGAAACCTCATTTGCAGCTTGTAGTAAGCAGTAGACGGAAGCCTGAGGATGATGAACAGAAGATGACTTTAGCTAAAATTATGACAAGCAATACTTAGTGTAAGCCAAATGTGCAATGGGAAGGGAACTCTTGGTTCTGGCCCTGATTTTAAACACGGTTGCCTAATCATATGGTACCATGGAGGTGCAAACAAACCAAATAATGTAGGCACTCGGATGGATTGATGTTAAATGGTACAGACCTGATAAGAAAATGTCTTAACCCATGCATTTCTATCAACTCCCAGCCAGGCTGCTGAAAACCATGGTAATCTAGAAGAGGAAATCTTCTCCTTAAGTGCCAGTTCAAAAGTTCTGGCAGCATCATGCAATGACTGAATGAGTTCACCACAGCTGTATTCATCTTGTAGTGATCCACTGAGTATTGCCCTCATCTCCTCAACATCATCGCTGGGTGTTGACTGGGAACCCCCATTAACAGCAACTCCGTCTTCAGCAGATGCAAGGAGAAAAGACTGCATAGTCCTCCGCGATTTATACCAACTCATCTTCTTGTTTCCAAAAAGTTTTCTCTGAAGAAAGTAGTTCTTGTTGTCCAGAACATGATAGGTCAGAAACAATTGACTCCTCGAATTTTCGCAGCAGCTTGAAATATAATCCAATTGTAGCACTCTTCTGCAGGAAATAAAGGTTCCAACGGACATCCGGGAAAGACAAGGGTTTGAAGAGCTACAAAATCAAGATTAATGAATTAGATCACAAAAATTTCTCGGAAAGAACTTGGTCTATACTCTATTATTCAGCATGGAAGCTCAGCTCAATATCCCTTTTCTTCCACTTAAGTTGTTTAAACCAAGAAGCGACCAAATTTCTAATAGGAAGTGCAACAACAAGTGAACTAAAAATCAGAGTAATTTTGCCCAAAAAGTCTCATATATTTCAGCTCCTTGATGCTCTTCTTCAAGCCTCTCGAATTCGAGAATTAATTGTAAGATTCTACTAAAGTTTCGTCATTTTTGTTTCCCGGTCCAAGACTTTTACGCTAAAGGGGTGAATTTCACCCAAAAAGGAAAATTCAATTCGAGAATATCAAAAAACCATTTACACTAACATAAAAACTAGCTGTGATGTACAAACTAACGCAGTCGGCAAGGAAACCTAAAGTCCTTGTAATGAATTCCACGAAAAGACCATAAAATCGAAGATTCTCGAGAGAAAGGAGGAATGTTAGCTTTCATCGGTTACCTTGACGATACAAGACCCGGCCGATGAAACTTAACTGCCATCTACCATGTAAGCTTTACGAATATCAGCTGTGCAATGTCTTCTTCAATTTTGGCTGGTGATAAGTATTTTTTAATAAGATAGAGGAAAAAAAAAAAAACGAAAACTCGCTGAACTCGAATTTGATGCTCAAGTTTTTTGGGGAGGGAGACAGAGACGATGACGTGGCAGGACCAGGATCTTTATCCAGTAGACGTGGAGCTCACAGAATTCACTCAATCGAACGGACTTCTCCATTTGTAACTGAGATCCAGTTACATCATGCCACGTATGTGCCTTCTCTAAGATTATTATTTCCCACCTCACATCTTATTTATTTAGGAATTTATTTCGACATGTAAAAAATAAAATAGGAAAATTTTACTTTACTGACTTTTGTAATCGTCTTTTATTATGGTAACACTTACTACTTATGCTTAAATTCAACGCAATCTAGTGAATGATTCAGAGATCATAAAGAACCAAGAGCAAAGTATAAAAGGCTAATAGCGAAGCTTGCTCATGTCTCTTACACATATCATCACAAGTAAAATGCAAGAAATATAGCAACAGTAGTGTCCAGCAATTTGCTATCTTCGATTTTGTTAGTCGTTTTTCGATGTTTCGGTTGTCGTGGCAGCTACTTCCACTGGATCAGGCGGTCCTCTAGCTATTGGATAGCGACCACCACCAAAACTCTGCTTCGCCTTTGCGTAGTCCACAAATATCACACGGCCGTTAAATTGCTGGAAGATACTGTTTTTTTGTTACCAACCGAAACAAAAAATTGTAACAAGTGAAAACATTAAGACATACACATTATTATTATTATACCTGTCCGTTGAACTCCATCAAAGCTTTCTGAGCTTCATCAACAGAAGCAAATGTCACGAAACCGAAACCTTTTGATCTGTCAGAGACTCTGTCCATAACTATTTGAGCTGATAAGAACCAGAAAAATATCTCAAAAAATCTCAGATACAATAAGCAGATCAAATGTGGGATTGATATTCTGATACCTTCAACAACTTGGCCACATTTGGAGAATGCCTCAGATAATCCTTGCTCTGTAGTGCAAAACGATAATCCTGGAAACAGAATTGTATAATTGGGAATTAAGCATTAATGGAGATTGTAATTTACTCAATCACCACCAAGAAAGAGTTCAAAATGTAGAGAACATCAGGTTCAATATTCAATTTGCTACAAACCAGTTAACCAAAATGTGAGCACAAAAACACCAAAGTTCACAGGAACAAGTAACATGGCTTTGAACAGTGAACAGTAACTTTTAAGACTTACAGCATCATTACAAAAGAGATATAACAATTTGCAATTTTATGAATCACATTCAATTAGTTTGCATCCGTTGCCAACGTCGATCAGCTAAAACCTCCAATTTCTAGAACCCAGAAATGGACTGTATTAAACCAGATTCAAACAGGAAAAGAAATAGAGAGTTACCACCAACAAAGAGCTTGGAAGCAACGCCACGGCGTTGAGTGAAGAAACATGAGGCGGAGGAGTTTATTAAGCCGACGAATTTCAGGTGCCGGCCACCGATCCTTGCGAGCGCCGCCATTAAAATTAATGTGTCGCGAGAGGACTGTTGGAGAGACTAAACGATTAAGCATGTTGGGAATCAGCCAATATGGGCCTGGCCTGATCCATTTGGAGAAGGAAAGGATTGTTATTTAATTATCATTTATTTTTTATTTAATTAGTGTGGTAATCTATACGCTTGGTAACAGACTTTTGATTTTATATATCTAAAAACAAGAAAAAGTGACAATTATCTTCCATTAATTTTTCGTATTTCCAAAGATCAATACAAAACACAAAATAGAGTCACCAAGAGCACACAAATACAAAATATATAAGCTTCTTCCATATAAACATTTCACACAAATACTAATTAAACCGTTGGCAATGCTTCTTCTTGCCCCTCAAAGAGTCTGTATTGTTGACTTAGGGTCGTTTGAGAGAGACACCGGAGATGACGACAAGGATGGCTAAAAACGTGACAGAGGCAAAGGCAGAGACGACAGCTCCGCTCGTTTTCTGACAGAAATCTCCAAACTGTTGGCAGATTGGAAGCCAGTTTGTGTTCGTATTCCCATTGTGTGCCAAATACACTATAGCCGCTGCCGCAGAAGCAGCCGCAGTGTCCAGGGCCAGAGCCGCCTGTCCACATCAATAAGAAAACAGAGAATTGTTAATTTCTGTTATAAACTTATAGCACCAAGAGTTTAAAGTATTGAGGAAGATGAGTACAGTGTCAAGAACAAGCAAGAGGAGTCTCGGAGCAACGGCTAGAGGACGAACAATCGTGACGACTGAGAAAGGAAGAGACAGGACAAGGTAACCTGTGACTATTGCAATGGCAACCACAAAGAACCTGAAAGAGAAAGAATTGAAAGTTAGATAACTTAGTCCCCATGGAACACAAGATGAAAAATACATTATGAGTCATACTGGAAAGTTGGAAGATCGTCGTAGCTAGCTTCGAACTGTAAAAACTGAGTGAAGAAAGGGAGAGTCTCGTCACTAGTCCCCATTGTGGCAGCAGCAGCTAAGGCAGCTACAATGGCAGCTAAACGGAGAAGGAAATCGAAAATGGAAAGGCCTCTCTTGTAACCCCCTGAGCCCGTGTGGTCTCTGGCTAAACCAAGGAGAGGAGCTTTGCCTTTGATGGCTGAGCTAGACTCTGCAGGGACATCAACGGCGATTGAGTCACTCTTCATCTTTTCTCGTTTAACTTTCTAAGTGTGTTGACCAATTGTCTTTAAGAATTTGTTTGGGGGGAATGGTACTGGATGCTTTTGCTGTTGTGAGTGTAATGAAATTAGGAGTTGGGTTTTTATAGGGTTTAGGTTCTGGTAGTGGACTTTGTTTATAGTAACAATGGAGTAGAGAAAGAGTAGTTGTTGTTTTGTGGAGTTGGCAACAAAACAAGTCAACAAGTAATTAAAATAATAATAATAATTGGATCAGCAGATCATATATCCCCAAGTCAAGACCCTTATCAGTTGGTGGTGCATCCACCGTTTTATTATTATTATCTTACCAAAAAAAAGTTGAAAAGCTTTATTCCAACTAATCAGTAGATCAATATAACCAAAAGGGAAAAACCAAAGAACTACAAAAGCCCAATCGCTAATAGTTCAAACGATGAGCTAAGTATATGACCTTGAGTTCGACTAGAGCACTAAGCTTCCACGGAGGATTCAATTATTCAACCGATGCTATGAAAATAAGAGAAAAGACAGTTACTCTGGAAAACTTGGGGAGGGAAAGCACGGTCATGTCTCAATTTTCCAGCCACGCTTGGCCAGATCTTGAATCACACGCCTCGCAGCTTCTCCATTATCGTTAAGAGGAGAGTAACTCCACTTCTCGCACATCTTGACAAATTAATTCATGTAGAAGCTAATGTCAGGATTCACCAAAAATAGAAAAGAAGAGAGTGTGTCGTGGATTATAGCTATCATGTAGAAAAAACAAAAGACTTGAATAGAGTTATTAGAATTACATCTTCATTGCCAGTCAAAGGTCGAACAGCTCCTCTTTCATGGAGAGTCTTCTGGAAGTCAGAAAATTTCCATGTACACCGTTCAGCACCCACAACATAAACGGGTTTCCTGTGTGAAGAATGAGATTTTGCTATCATCTTAAAGAGTGCGAAAAGGAAAAGATTGTCGTTGTCTTAAACATACCCGGTACTACATGCCTCGCTCAGCATACTTATAGAGTCAGCAGTTATGATAAACGTATCGGCTAAAGCTAGATGTCCCAAATGCGGATTAGGGTCTGAGAAATGGATGAAGAGAAAGCCTCAAACTTTGCCACAGACAAGTTGGAAATAACAAAAATTGTCACCTTTTCCATCCCAAATGTAGACCTTAGAGTTAGAGCTCAATTCTCCAGTTATGATTTCTACAACCTGTAGAAAGATCGAGAAAATATGATGACCATCCGCTCCGCATGATCGTGACATTCTAAAGAGACTTGTACTTACCTTCTTCGGTGTTCTTCTTGAGAAAGATATTCTTAGGCTTCCACAGCTCCAGAGGATACTCTGAAGCATACCACACAACTGTTTAGCAAGATCAACACCATACAAACAGTTCCCTACAGCAAATTAACAAAAAAAAAAAAAAAAAGCATAACCATAGTTAGAAATACAGCTCAATAGACTATATAAAATACGAAGCGGCACAATGTGTTTACTTGTAGGTCCTCCAATATTAACTACAACTAAAGGCTTTGACAGCGAAGCAAACTCCTCCTTCCATTCCAAAGTAGCATTTCTCAGAGTAGAAGCATCGGCGTAATGAAGAGCTCCAGTGGTGAGAAACTGGATTTCAGAATTCAAGCTTGTTACTAGCAACAACATGACAATGCCTTGCCATCAAATCTTTTTTAATGAACATTGCAAAAGAAACATACCACATTTCTACCTGGAGGTTCACGTGGAGTTACCCATGGGCGGAGAAAGAAAGGAATTTGCATCTTCCCTTCAGGTGTTAAAGAAAAATAATCATGACGAGGTGTGATCACTAGATCAAATCTCTCAAGATGCGACCTTGGATGTTGCACCTGGAAAAACAGCAAACAAGAAAAATCAAGTTACAACAACGAGAAAACAAAGACTATGAGGCCAAGATTTTGCAATTGCTGATATGGAAAAATCTGCTAAAACCATCATACAAAACAAAAAGGCCATAGAAATTTGTTTTTTTTTTCAAGGAAGAGACTTAACCTGAACAACAAAAACATTTTCCATAGCTAGTCGTCTTATGGAGCTTGCGACGGAAATGGTATCACTACCAGATGCCACCACTAACAACGGGCCATTCCTGTGATAAGGCAGACGAAAGAAGAAACAAAGTAACTCAAACTCTATATAAATAGATCTCAATGATCCATCGAGTGACGAAAATGTGATCATAAATGTTCAACCAAACACACTCAAGTAGGCAACCACTGAGCTGATTGAAGATCACATCAATAAACTTGTTTTCTGAAGAACAAAATCAAGCAGCTGAAAATTCGAGAAATACTTGTCAAACGTACTACGAGCCATAGCAGCAATCTGCTTCGCATCATCAACCTCAAACACATTGGTGATTCCTACAGCCATTTTCAGGGAAACAAATTACTGCCAAAAATCTCATTTTTTTTTTCAAACTGTGAATAAAAGTTGAAGGTTGTACCAGTAGCGTTAATGGAGAATCTGGCACAGATAGTGCTGATAAAACGATGAATTCGTTTGTAGAGAGAAATAGGAAGCCATTGAAGGATTCCACCTTTTGGTCTAGCCACTCTCTGAACAGGATTAACAAACTCAGAAATATTGAAAATGTATACATATACCAATAGAGGAAACCAAAAGAGGAAAAGTGTTTTGGACGGAGATTACATGATAGAGGTGGCGATCGAAGAGGCCTAGGGAGTGAACAAGACCGAAGCACTGATTCTCCGCGCCGGCGCAGCCGTTTCCGATTACAACAGCTCGTTTCACCGTGCGGTAAATATCTCCTTGGAGATTCTCTGATAAACCGGTGACTGCCAGTTCCGGTGGCCGTGTTCGCCGCATTAGAGTTGAAAAGAAGAGTGGGTGACGTGAGTCAGAGATCCGAGACAAAATCCAACCAACAACACGAGACCGAAACTTTAACCGGAATAAACCGAAAACCAATTTGAACCGGAAATGGGAAGGAATTAAACCTTCTTCAGCTATTTCATGCGTTATCATTTTTGTAGGGTTATTAGCAAGTTGAACTCTACAGAATTTTAGAATTTAAAGGAGACTCACAAAAATGCCCCTTTTTTAATACCCTTTTTCAAAAATGTCCTATTTGGCTGTCCATTTTTAAAAATACCCCTTTTTATGTACACAATGACTAAATTACCCTTCTTTTAATAAAAGATATCACAAATATATAAGGAAATATAACAAAATTAGGTCCACAAAATACAAAATATTTTTTGGCGGGAAAAGTGATCCCGCAATTTTTCCCGCCAAAACTCTTGTAAAAACTTGTAAAACCTTTAAAATACCTTGTAAAATTTTCCCGTAAAACTTTTTCCTGCCAAAAAATTTTCCCGCCAAAAATTTTTTTTTGCGGGAAAAATGATTCCGCAATTTTTTTGGCGTTAAATTTTTGGCGGGAAAATTTTTCCCGCCAAAAATTTACAAGGTATTTTAAAGGTTTTTTACAAGGTATTTATAAGGTTTTACAATGTATTTTAAAAGGTTTTACAACGTATTTACAAGGTATTTATAAGATATTATAAGATTTTACAAGCTATTTTATAAGGTTTTTACAAGTTATAAGGTTTTACAAGTTTTTTATAAGGTTTTACAAGTTATAAATACCTTAGAGCATGTATATGGGTGATACCCATATAGTATCATTGTGAATTTTTTAGTATTATTTATAATGTTTGTTTATTGTTTGAGATTTTTTATGATACTCCTACTAAATATGTTTACATTGGTGAGACCGATTTAAGTATCATAAAAAAAAAATCGCAAAATCAAAAGTTAATATATTAAAACATAAGATTACAAAAGGTAATATTACAATAAAAAAAACATAGAATATACTTAAGCAAAGTAAAACATAAAATTCAAAATCGCCTTGAGAAACATTTGAAAATTAATTTAATCAATTAACTATCATGGTCCAACATAATGTTAACTTGCTTGATAGATTTATATCGTTTGTTGAATCTTAGACCAACATCATGTGAATTCTCCAATGTTCAAGTTTATGCGACCAATGGAAATCGATCTCTGGGTTTAATTAACAAGTAGAAACAAAACCATTGACTTGAGTAACAACTTGGTACTTCCAAATTTAAATTATTTGATGAGAATAATCACTAAAGTTTTATTCATCATGTTAATTAGCTAGAATATCACAACTTCAAATTTTCTTGAAAACCATATATATACACATCTCTCATTGTTATAATTAGATACTAAGAGGAGATGTCTCGAAGGCTTTTGCCTCCATTTGAACACATCCTCCACTCAACTCTTTGGTCTCATCAATCTTGTAAACATACTTGGTCGTTACCATGTCCTTTGCCAAGTTGCCTAAGTTGAGAAACATCTTCTGAGATTTTCTTAGTCGCTTCCACCTGCAAAGTGATGTTAATTAAACTTCATTAGAGACAGCAGGACTTATCACAAAGCAATGGTAAAGATTAACAAAGCAATAGCAAATAAAGATTAACAAAGTTTTTATCATGATTAAATACACACAATTCAATTCAGTTTCAATAAGTGACTGCAGTAAAAGCCAATATATACAAAAGGACTGAGAGATAGGCAGCCAAGTACCTGTCTTTGATCTCCTTTGTTTTCAAATCTGTTGCTCTATAAAACAGATGGTTACCATGTCCTTTGCCAAGTCTCCTAAGTTGAGAAACATATTCTGAGATTTTCTTAGTCGCTTCCACCTGCAAAGTGATGTTAATTAAACTTCATTAGAGATAGCAAGACTTATCACAAAGCAATGATACAGCAAAAAAGATACAAATAACTTATCGATAACTGACCCGAAATCTAAGCCAGTAGAGCTAAAGACCATTAATTCCCAGAACAAAGCAAACATCACCCAAAACAACTAATGGATCCAGGTTTTATCATGACAAAAACAAAGCAATCTTCACACATTTACTTAAAACCATTAAATCATCATAGCAGATAAAACATGATTCAGGAACAAAAAGAAAGCAGAACATGGTATTTACAAGAGCAGCAATCACGCAAAAACACTGATAAAACCATACTTGAACAGAGTACTAGAGATAAAATCTACAGATCCAAATAACAGATTCGTCACAAACCCATTACACCCATCAAAAACTAGACTCAGATTTCTCAAAAGCAAACAAAACCACAAGACGTGATACACATGTATTCAACACTGCAACAAACGAAAAATCCAGAGTCATGAGATACTTAAAAAGCCAATCGACATATCTACAACACCTACTGTTCAAATCCATGAAAGAATCACCAAAAAATGTTTCGATCTAAGACGAAAAACTTACTGCGGAGGAGAGGAGAAATAGAAATGGAGAGGTGAAAGGATCGAAGAGATGAAGCCGGAGGAGAAGCGGAGGGAGCGACGGCAGGAGAAATCGAAATCGTTGTCTATGGTTTCTGGGATTTCACGGGAGAGAGGAGAGAAGAGAAAATGAATTTTTTTTTTTTTTTTTTTTTTCAGTTTCGGCAAAACAAATTTGAGAACCAGTAATACCTTGCCACGTCATATGATACCCAGTATCAAAAGTATCACTCTAGTGATACGGATCAAGCCCAAAAACAGTGTTTGGTCCATTAAAAATTATTTTCTGGGCTTCTGATACCCTCTAAGTATCACCCATGGGTATGGTCTTATAAAACCTTATAAGTACCTTGTAAAACCTTTTAAAATACATTGTAAAACCTTATAAAACACTTGTAAATACTCTGTAAAACCTTTAAAATACCTTGTAAATTTTTCCCGCCAAAAATTTTCCCGCCAAAAAAATTTCGCAAAAAAAAATTGCGGAATCACTTTTCCCGCAAAAAAATTTTTTTGCCGGGAAAATTTTTTGGCGGGAAAAATTTTTACGGGAAAATTTTACAAGGTTTTTTAAAGGTTTTTACAAGTGTTTTGGCGGGAAAATTGCGGGATCACTTTTCCCGTCAAAAAATATTTTGTATTTTGTGGACCTAATTTTGTTTCAAATAAGGGTAAAATGGTCATTAAAAATTAAAAGAGGGCAAACTTAAAAATGGACTCTCAAAAGGGGCATTTTTGAAAAGGGGTATTGAAAAAGGGGCATTTTTAACAATTTCTCATTTAAAAATGCTAGTTACTGTTGTGGATTTCTATATTTCTAATCAATTCTTGTGTTATTGGTGTGATAATTTTGTTATTCATTCAAAATCTTGTGTTATTGGTGTGTTGATTTTTCTAATTTTATTTTTAAAAAAACTTTGCTATTCGAAAGTTTGAGTATTTTGACTATTAATCCTATCAAAGTCTACTGATACAGTATTGGAACCATAATACTTTATTAGTCATTAACCACAATTTTCAATATACATTAGTTATTATTTGTATTCTTAATAAAGTTTGCAAAACAAAATTAAAAACCTTCTCTTCCTTAAAACATGGTTCATGGGTAAGATAATCAAATATGATAGACTTAGAGTACTACTTATTGACATAAGATGCCAAAACAATTTTCATAAGCTCAATCCCAAAATAAGCCAGAATCATAAGCCTCGCAGCTTCTGCAGTATTGTTAAGAGGCCAGTAGCTCCAATTCTCACGCATCTTGTCATATAAAATCCATAGAAGCTAATGTCAGGATTCACCAAAAAAAAGAGAAGGGTCTCAGGGAGTATAGCTATCACGTAGAAAAAAACAAAAGACTGGAACAGAGTTACTAGAATTACACCTTCTTTGCCGGTTTAAGGTCGAACAGCTACTCTTTCATGGAGAGTCTTCTGGAAGTCAGAAAATTTCAGTCTACACCGTTCAGCACCCACAGGCCACAACATAAAGGAGGGGTCTCCTGTGTCGAGAATGAAATTTCAATATCATTTACAGACTGAGAAAAGGAAAAGGTTTTTGTTGTCTTAAACATACACGGTATTACATGCCTCGGTCAGCATACTTTTAGAGTCAGCAGTTATGATAAAAGTATTGGGCTAAAGCTAGATGTCCTAAATGCGGATTAGGGTCTGAGAAATGGATGAAGAGAAAACATCAAACTTTGGCACGGACAAGTTGAGGGTAAAAATAACCGTTCACCTTTTCCATTCCAAATGCAGACCTAAGAGTTAGAGCTCAATTCTTCAGTTATGATTTCTACAACCTGTAGAGAGAACGAGAAAATATGATGACCATCCACTCTGCACTACCATGACATTCTAAAGTGACTCTTACTTACCTTCTTCGGTGTTCTTCTTGAGAGAGATAAGCAAATGAAGAAGAAACAAAATTATCAAGTTAAAACAACGAGAAAGCAAAGACTATGAGGCCAAGATTTGGCATTTTCTGATATCATTCACATGGAATAATCTGCTAAAACCATCATATGAAACAAAAGGCCATAGAAATTTGTTGTTTTTTTTCAAGGAAGAGACTTAACCTGAACACCAAAAACATTTTCCATAGCTAGTCGTCTTATGAACAACAAAAAATGAATTCAGACAAGCAATTATGTTACCTAGCAGACAATTCTTAAATATTTTTCTCTCTACTAAAACGAGCACACAACCACACTGCAGAGAAATTCTAAAAATGTCTCTGATTGTATCCTCTGCAAGTTTCTATTTGTTACCTCGATACTTGCAGATGTTGTTAATCGCGACCATATATTTTGCCCCGACCAATAACAGCAGTTGGTGTAGTATAAGATCGACTCAGAAGACAATCTCATCTGTACCGTAGTCACTTTTTACTCTGCATGTCGCAGCCCGAAGTCCAAAAACGAACAAAGGAAATTCTCTGCGTAGACCGAGGTTTTTCAATGAATGATAGGCATGAGGGAGTGGAACAAAGTGAACATATTTGTCAATCAATCTCCCTGTAGTATCTGGAACCAAAGAAGAGAAGGGCGAGCACGAAAGTTCTGTCGGGCCAAGTTTAGTGACTGCAGGGACGCAAATCAGCACAAGCATGAGAAGTGATACCCAAATCTCACTGCTTGCAGCTGAGTAATTGCCATTGGCATAGCTGAAATAAACTATTAAGAAATCGTCACTCTCCATAAACGTCACAGTGAAACGGGCTTGCACAGAACATACTAATCTGAAGAGAGTCAAAAGAAATGACATACATAGAAGGGACTTGCACAGACCAAAACCAATCACTGGCTTCAGCATCTAAAGCCAGTGATTGATTTGTGTGCTGTAGCTTTTTTTTTGAAGTAAAAGAATGATTGATTTGCTATTTGGCTTTAGAAAGAAAAGTTGGCTTTCTACAGCATCTAAAGTTCCTTCCATAGGGCCTGATTGGCAAGTGCTTTAGACTCTTTACAAAGCAAAATTTTTTTTAAAGATTTGAAATACATCCAATCAAGCTTTAGAAGGTTTGGCTTTTCTTTTTTTTCTCACAGCCAAAATATTTTCTTAATTCATTTTTTTGGCTGTAGAAAGCATTTTTTCCTAGAACACATAATTTTCAACTTTCCAAAATTTTAAATTCTACAGCCAAAATACTACAGCAATAAAATCTACAGCCACAACAAATAAACCTACAGTCATATTTCTACATCAAAAAATGTAAAGCTACAGTTGTTACCAATATTGGCAAGTGCTTTAGAGTCTTTACAAAGCAAAAAAATTTCTAAAGATTTGAAATACATTCAATCAAGCTTTAGAAGCTTTGGCTTTCCTTTTTTTTCTCACAGCCAAAATATTTCTTTAATTCATTTTTTTTGCTGTAAAAAGCATTTTTTCCTAAAGCACATAATTTTCAACTTTCCAAAATTTTAAATTCTACAGCCAAAATAGTACATCATTAAAATCTACAGCCATAGCAAATAAACCTACAGTCATATTTCTACATCAAAAAATGTAAAACTACAGTTGTTACCAATCAGGTCCTAAATCTATGTGATATAGGACTGCTGTGTTGTCTGGTGTTAGTGGAATATAAATTTGGGCAGTTTGAAACGGTTGCAAGTAAGAAAGAATTTGGGAGATTCTCTCTCTCGATCAAATTCAAAAGACGATTATTTATTGCATAGTAACTTTTTTAATGGTGGCCCAATGAACAAGTCCGACAATAATGGAGGGACTGATCGGATATACTTTGAAGTATATGTTGGGCTTCTGGCCCAAAGTTAACTAGTCTTCGAATGATGTTATTGCGCTATATAAGACGGGTAGGGTACGGAACACACGATTTACTTTTGAGTTCTCTGGAACAGCTTTGGTCTCTCTCTTCAGGTTTTTTTTGTTCTCTCCCTCTCTCTCTCTCATCAATTACTATAAATCCAGCCTGTTTAGTGGTTTGATTGTGTAGATTCTTCGTTTTAAACTTGATGTACGCATATTATCATCCGATTTAGGGATTGACTATTTATGTACATGTTTTCCTTTACGTAAGAAGTGTTACAGTTAGCGATCCAGATCCAGATCCAGTCATGGCGGGTGCAGTAGCAAGATTTGTGAAAGCGTATGGTAAAGATGATATTTGGTATCGATTATCGTTGATAGTAATACCAGTCTCAGCTGTCCTGATAGTAATAGGGGAAAATAAGCTTGCTCGTATCAGAGAGGAGAAGAAGCTTTTGGAGGCGAGGTTTGATCAACTGAGGGCTAGAGGAATAATCAGAGAGCAGTAATCGGGGTGTTTTGGCTTTGTTTTTTTTTTTTTTCTCCTTCTCTATGGGTTTAATTAATATTTATTTCTCCATACATGTTTCCATGAAATCAACCAACTCTACGTTATAAATGATTTATTCTTGTCTCTCTGTAAGACTCGAGATAATTCGCTATTGATAGAACTTCTATGATTCAACAGTCTTTTTATTGCTTAACTATTTTTCCAACTATTCTCTACCAAAAGTAGAATAAACATACAAAACTCTATCCAGAAGTGTGTCACCCTTGTGCCTTGATATAATCGAATTCCTTTTTTAAAAAGTCTTTTCCTTTAAAGATGCTGCTTTTGTAACTCGAGTCAATGTCACCACCTCCCTGAGTGAACCATATGAGGTTGGTAGTCTTCCACACATGTTTAACCAAGCCAAACGCATTCTGCAATTCTTTGTTTCTCATATTGTAAGCACTCTTTGAGACTGATGCCAACACTTTGTAACCAGTGCTTGAGATTGGTGTATGCTATGGTCAGTCTAGCAAACTCAAGTGTCAGTACCTAGAATCCTAACTGCATCAAAGGAATAATCATTCTTATTTTTTCTAGGTCAGAGCACGCGGCTTTTATTTGTTCCTTTCCAGATGATGGGCTTGATACATGAGACTGGAAACCTACACTATCTACACAGCCTGAGAAATTAAGTGATGGGCTTGATACATGTGACTGGAAACCTACACTATCTACAGCCTGAGAAATTAAGTGCTGTAACTGTAAGTATCTATTATAGTACATCGGATTGTCAACGGAGTTCTTAGCCTGAAACTGTATACAAATAGTTGAAGAAAGAGTGAAGTGTGTTTTCACAACTAATTCGTAGAATACAAACCTTTTCAAATGAGCTTGACACTCTCTCAAACCCGCTTCTGTTACTGCCAAACCTGCACCACACAACATCCAATTGCACACTCCATTACTAGGGATGCCAAAAACGCAAAGTTAAGACATCGAAAGAAAACAAAGACTATGAGGCCACATTTGGCATTTGCATATATCAGTCACATGGAAAGATCTTTTGTGTTTGTTTTTTTTGCTGCAGACTTAAGTTTGCGAGCTGTTTTTGCGATATTATTACATTCTAAGCAGCACTTAGAAGAAAAGGCACAGAAAATCATATATTCAACATGAAATTTGGCTTTCCCAAATGAATCCAGACATATATGCCTAAGTCAAGACTCTTATCAGTTGGTGGTGTACCATCTCCTTAGGTATTAGAGACTTTTTTTTTTATTAGCACTTGGCAAAAAAAAGTTGAAATTTTTTATTCCAACTAATCAATAGATCAAATATATCCAAATGGGTAAAACCAAAGAACTAACAAAATCCAATCGTTAATAGACTAATAGCTCAAACGATGAGCTAAGTATATGACCCTGAGTTCGACTAGAGAACTAAACTTCCTAGGAGGATAATTCCCAGTCCGAAAATAATAACTGTATAGTCTATAATAGGGAAAAGAGAGTACTCTGGAAAACTTGTGGAGGGAAAGAACGGTCATGCCTCGATTTCCCAGCCACGCTTGGCCAAATCTCACTGCTTGCAGCTGAGTAATTGCCATTGGCATAGCTGAAATAAACTATTAAGAAATCGTCACTCTCCATAAACGTCACAGTGAAACGGGTGTTTTACAGAACATACTAATCTGAAGAGAGTCAAAAGAAATGACATACATAGAAGGGACTTGCACAGACCAAAACCAATCACTGGCTTCAGGGAGATAGTTTATCCCGCACCTTGGCATGATAAAGCAGCCGCAACATAGGATTATAATTAGAACGGTTTCAGCAACATAGTCTTTTCCACACCACAGAAGGAATTAGTAACTAACAGAACAAAAGACATACCCTTGTGCCTCGATATACAGAGATCTTTTAAAAGCCAGTCTTTGCAGCAGCAGGAGACTACTTCCACCAATGAAGTGCCTGAATAACGATGGTGATGACGTGGCAATCCAAGAGTCAAAAACAGAGAGTCAAACTAATAATTGAAACGAGTATATAAATTCATAAACTCACTTCTTCTTCTTCTTTCTCTCGCTCTCTCATTCATTCTGTTTTGATTTCAATCTCTCGAATCTTCTGTTTCGATCTCTTGAATCTTCTTCTTTCTCTCTCTCTCTCAAAATTTCTCTTCTCACAATGTCGTTGCCCCGAAACTTCGTCGCCAAAGTTATGGGAGGCGCCATGGCTGCGTTCACAACGAAGCTCTTCGTAGGAGTTTTCGTTGAGAACCAAGAGATTAAGGATAAGCATGAGCTACTCCACGAGCTCGAGGAAGCAGGAGCCTTCTTCGTCGTGCCTCCTACCTTCTTCGCTAAACCGCGACCACCGGTAAACCTCTTCCTCCGATTTTCTTTTTTTTTTCTTCTGATCGATGATGAATTGATGATCATGCTTGGTTTAAGTTTCTTGCTCGTTCAACCATCAATTGCTTGAATTCGCCATGGATATGCATCAGTAGCATCTGCTTCGATTTCGCTTTTAGATTCGGAATTTTCGATTAGGTTTTTCAATTGATGATCATGCTTGGTTTAAGTTTCTTGCTCGTTCAACCATCAATTGCTTGAATTCGCCATCAATTGCTTGAATTCGCCATAAATTGTATGAGCTTAATCGGATCTAGTAATCTCCTATTAATTGTATGGGCCTAATCAAACTGTAATTGTATAGGCCTAATCGAATCTAGTGATCTACTATTAATGTACCTTTTTTTTTTTTTTTTTTTTAACGATTGTTATTTTTATTTTATTTGAATGAAAATTTGGTAAATTCGGATTTAAAGATTATAATTTATTTTTTTAATAAACTTATTTGTATTTTTCGGATATGTTTTACCCGCTAAAAATAAATAAATAAAAAAAATCTAATATTTGTGTTTTTTGTTTTGTTTTTAATTTTTTAAAAGTTTCGCTCGTGGTTTCGTGGCGCTCGGGAGCCTTCACCGTACTCGAGTCGTTCGTCTCTTTGGTCGACTCGCACGTCTTCTCTTTCCGACCTCGTTTCGCCTCCCGTTTTCTCACCCGCCTCTGCTCCTGCGCCTGCACCACCTCTCGTTCTCGCACCCACCCCTGCTTCTACACCCACCTCTGCCTCTGCACCCGCCTCTGCTCCTGCGTCTGCACCACCTCTCGTTCTCGCACCCACCCCTGCTGCTGCACCAGACCTTGCTCCCGCGCTCGCACCCACTCCCGCGCTCGCACCCACCCCGGCTTCTGCACG